TGTCTCAACCCCCACAGGTGTTTTCAATTGGTTTTGAGGCTTTATTTCCCGGAGCTGGGACTCCGGGTTGTGTGAACTGTCTCACTCCCCAGTTTTGCCTGGTTTATCTGGGTGCGAATATGGGACCACCCAGTCTGCCAGCCACCTTGTGTGCCACGCCCCTCCGTGATCTGCCTCCTCGCTGTGTCTGCCTGCTGTTGCTCTGTGCACCTGGGTCCACCAGCTACCACTTTGCTAAGACCCCTCTCGCCTGGCGGCCCAGCTCTGCCCCTCCTAGGGTCTGGCTGAATGTGTCTACTTTAACTCTTCGGTTGTCGGACTTCCATACAGTTCAATTTTCTGCCAGTACTGGTTGTTTTTGTTTCTAAATTATTATCCTCCTCCTCTTGGTTGTGCGAGGATGCACAGTGTGTCTACCTACGCCTCCATCTTAGCTGGGAGTGTCTGTTTGTCTCTTTTTTAACGTTGGAGTAGCATAACTTTTTTCTTGAAGAGATACATTGATATTTACCTAGTATTAGATGAGATGGGAATGAAACTTATTTAATTGTTTAACATGTTGCTTACTTAATGCTAATTGCTCACATGCAAATAGAAAACTCAGGGTGCTCTGTGGTGAAGAATCAGAATTTGTAGTTGAGTATTGGTTCCGCTGCCCTCCTTTGTGCCTTTGAGAAGGATGAAACAGCTACAAAGATTTAGTGTTCAAACATGCACAAAGTAGTTTGCCAGATTTTGCTTACATGTAAAATTCTTTTTATTTTAAAAGGACTTTATTTTATATTTTCTTTGATTTCATGAAATCATTTAGAAGCAAGAAGATGGCAGTGGTAATCTTGGGCAAAGTTTTAACAACTCAGGCCTTTTGTTTCCACGTCTGAAAACGGCTTTTCATAGCAGCCAGTATTTATTGACCTGCGCCAGGCATTGTGCTAAACACTTTAGATACATTAATTCATTTAGTTCATACATAAAACTTAACATAGGAAGTATTACTTTCTCACTCCACAGGTGAGCTGTGGTGCAGGAAAATAGGTAACGTCATCAAGTTTGCATAACTAAAATCAGGGTGTTCAAAGGAGTGTCAGACTTCAGTAAGTGGTCAATAAGACACTAGGTTTTATTGTTGATGCTGCTGTAAAACACACCAGAGTACATTCAGATCAGACTTGGTTTCTGAATCGTCTGTGAGCTTCAGATTAAATCCTGCTTCAGATAGCTATTCCCCATTTGTGATTCCAAAATTCTAAAGTGAAATTTCAAAGATAATAGGCCTGGCTCATGTGATTCAGTGGATTGAGTGCTGGCATGAGAACCAAAGTGTCGCTGGTTCGATTCCCAGTTAGGGCATATGCCTGGGTTGCAGGCCAGGTCCCCAGTAGGAGGTGCACAAGAGGCAACCACACAATGATGTTTCTCTCCCTCTCTTTCTCCCTCCTTGCCTCCTCTCTAAAAATAAATAAATAAAATCTTTTAAAAAAATAAAAAATTTCGAAGATAATCAACTTAAAGATAGGCAACCATGTGTTATAATTTTTTTTAATATTCTGTAGCTCTTAGAATAATGTACACTTGAAAAAATAGTATGCATTTGATAAATATTTATTGTTAGGAAATCTTGAAAGAACAAATGTGGATATATTTGTAAATAAAAATACCATTTACTGTAAAGTATTTCATTTCCCCTAAAAGGCCGAGTCTTTCATTGTTGCTCTTTTTAAAAGTTGCCATCTAAGGGTAGTTTTAGGACTTTCATTCAAAGAATCTTTTGTTTTCATACCACTGTAAGAAGAATCCATGAGAAAGCTATAGAGAAGGCTGACCTCTCAAGAATTTGTGTGTGGGGGATTACTTAGGCATGAAAGTTCATAAATCATTTCTCTCCATTTTATTTTTTCTGCGTATGTCTGACAAGCTGTACTTTTAGTTAGTAAAAGTTGGCAACTTTTTTTTTACACAGGCCAAATTCCATTCTCATAAACCCTGCATTCATAGGATGTAATGAAGTCTAAATTCAACCTTAAATTGAATGTATTTTAATAAAGGTTGTCTAGTGTATTTGTGGCTCAGTTTACCTGAAAACATTCTTTAAGGATAACAAATTTTATAACCAAATTTATGATGTATATTCTAGTTCTAAGAAGTAACATAATATAGTTTTATTCAGATTATAACAGTAATATATCTGACATACCAACAGACTTTTCTTCATTAGAAGATAATTCTGTGCTATTTTGTCAACTACTCAAGTGTTTACATTTGGAGAAGTAACTTGCAAACTAGTTTGTTTCAAAGTAGCAATTAAAAAAGTACAAAGAAGAAAGTTAAATGGACGAAAAAACGAGATAATTTTCTTCATTATCTTCCTGTGCCGGGTCAGGATTTTTTTTTTTCTTTCTAGGCTTTTTAGAACTATGATGCTTTCTTTGGTCTACTTTCTTTGTGAATCTTTGCCTTCTTGTTCACTGTTGTTTCCAAGGTCCTGGAACAGCGCCTGGCTCACAGTAGGCCTCAAATAGTTGTTGAGTGAGAGAATGTAGGGGGTCTTGTTCTGATCTGGGCATTTTCCCCGTGTATCTTGCGTTTCTACCTAAAACAGACATTGTGAGAGTTAGCCTCATCTAGTAGACTCTGTGTTTAGTATGCTCTCTCCTTTATAGTTACAACATGCTTTGGTGAGAGTGAGAAGGAAAGATCTTAAAGACTGAGAAAACAGGAAGGAGATCAGTGGATGCCTGGGGCTGGGGCTGGGGGTGAGAACAGAGAAGGACTGCAAATGAGTTGGGGGGGCCTTTCTCTGGGAGAAGGAAATGGTCTGAAACTGAATCGTGGCGATTGCTGTGCAGCCCAGTACATTGATTAAAATGAGTGGATTTTGTGGTATGTAAGCTGCACTTCAGTAAAACTGGAAAATAAAGCCAGGCTGGGAGTTTTAACAGTCTTTGCTATGACTTGTTGCTATAGATAAATGACTGATTTTTCTAAAACTAGTTTTTCTGTAGAGCAGTTCAGGACAAAGAAATGTTCATTTTATTGTCTAGTAAAGTACTTTCTTTTGCGCTAATCAGCTTGGAATTTATAAGGCTCCTAATATAAAACATCTTGTTTCATCTAATTTTCTTACTCTCTTTTTGGATATTTCCAAAGCTACAAAAATGAATAGGTGTGAGTCTACTTTAAGAAAACCCTATTTTTCCCTTCATCTTACTGAAAGATTGGTTTAACTTACCCAGATAGCTCTGTTCTCACTATTGTAAGCAAATTATGTATGAACCCTTCCTCCCTATATATCATATTATCCTCTGTCTTTTTACCTTTATTTTTGGAAGGGGGGGGTTAGGAGACGTATTTTAAGATTGTGGGGAGAAAATCTTTTTCCACGAAACAGTGTTCTTACTTAGATTTCCATATGTTCTTAAAGATATTCTTGTATGTCTCCTCCAAGGGAGGACAGCCCCTCTGAAACTGTGACTGTAGCCTGAAAAATTACTTATAAAAGGTCTCCTGCAGTTGAGTAAAGGCCAAATAGATTAAAGATCTAACAAGATTATTTTGAGGTCATTTAACTCGAACAATAACAACAACCCTGACGATATCGAGCATTGGCAAGGATGAGAGCACCTAGAGGCTTTGCTTGTTTGGGTTTTGTTGTTGTTGTTGTTGTTTTTACTTTTATAAGAGTTTATTTAAGCCAAACTGACAACATATGCTGGGAGCCAGATCTTAAATGCTGCTAGAAACATTGTTATAACTAAAAAGGCTCTTGGAAGTTAAGAATTAATTGGGGGTAGTTTGATTTCTCTTTATGCACTTACTCTGTGGCTTGAAACTGTTAGATGATGCTAATAGTCGTTACCATTACAACTGACATATGATGCTTACTGAATACTGGACACTATTATAAAGACTTTCCATATAGTAGCTTATTTCATTCTCACAATAACCCTGTGAAGTATGGACTGTCACCATCCTCAATGAACAGATAATGAAAATAAGTCACACAGAACAAGGTCACACAGCTCAACAAACCCAAGCAGACATTGCTAATAACCACTGTACCATATTGAAAGGACTGTTTCCTTTTTTTTTTTTAAATCTTCATCTTGAAAGAACTAAAAAAATACTTGGTACAGGAAAATGAGAATTATTCTATTACTGCTAGAAGGAGAAAGATGTTCTCCCATCATCTTTATTATTTTTACTTTTTCCTTGTTTCCATTTGGTTTTGTTATTATTTATTTATGTTTATATTTTATGTTATTTTTATGAGTCAGTGTTAGTAACAGTCTGACTAGTAATGCTTTTTCATATAATGCTAGGCTGATAGTTCAGACAGTGTTATTTGAATTTAGTCACAAAAGCTTTGATTAGAATGTGTGTCTGATAGTTTAATCAGTTGTCTGGATTGGTTGAACACTTCCGGGGGAGATCTTGAAGCCTTATCTTCAGCTTAAAAGATACGGAGTGTAACCTGACTGGTGTAGCTCAGTGGATTGAGCGTGGGCCTGCGAACCAGACAGTCGTGGTTCTATTCCCAGTCAGGGCACATTACCTGGGTTGCAGGCCAGTTCCCAGCAGGGGACGCACGAAAGGCAACCATACATTGATGTTTCTTTGCCTTTCTCCTTCCCTTCCCCTCTAAAGATAAATAAATAAAAATCTTAAAAAAAAAAAAAAGATACGGAGTGTAAATGCATTTCATACTTCTATGTACTTTTTGAGAAATCAATATCATAATTCAAAATGTGAGCTATAATTTCACAGAATGATTATGGTTCTTGCTTAATTGATGATGTAAGTATCAATGTAAATAAGCAGAAATACTTTAATGAATTGCTGTTTCATTAAGCTCATGATTCTATCATTTTTTATTGATTATAACCAAAACGGTTTGTAAACATTCTAAGATTATTGCTCAAGTTATCTCTCACAATATGAATGTTTTTTGAAAAAAGTTCAGCTATTTTTTAACCATTCTTTTATTCTATTTTATTTTCTAGGATTTTGGTCCCCAACAGTAGTTCTCAAGATGTTGAGACCCTCTATAATGTCTTAATCAAGTATGAGGTAATGGGAAGTATTTTTAAATGTTTAACATATTTCCACCATACAGAAATGTTCATATAAATTCACGTGGTAGAGTTCTAGAACGTAATGGAATGTTATTTCATTGATACCTGCTTTAAATTCTGAGCGACGTGATGAGTTTGTGTTTGGTTCTCTAAGTGAAAACATAGAGTAGAATCCTACACACTTACATATACACGTCCTACAAGGCAGAGGTGTTCGGCATCAGGAGCCGTTGGCATTTTGGACAGGTTACATTACTTCTTGTGTGGAACACGGCTTGTCATTTAACGTTCCTGCTCCTCAGATGCTACCTGTCAGTGGCTTCCCTGGTCGTATGACAGCGAGAGACATTCCGCCCAGCTCATCGCCCCAGGTTGGGAGGCGCTGGCGCTGAAAGGGGAGGCTGTGATTTAGTTTCCTCCTCCTCCCCCCCCCCCGCAGCACAGACCCCAGAGTCAGCCGAGCTTGGCTCCAGGCTGTTTGGTAAACAAGGCCGCGTGCTTTCCTTGTCCTTGCCTTGCGGATCCAAGGAAAGTGCCCTGCTGATCCTTGGTTCCTGTTTGCCTAGAGGTCTGTCCCGCCTGTGTTCCCGTGTATTCTTTCTCTTCGAGGGTCTGTGTGTAATTTTTAAAATGCTCTACTTGAAGGAATGTGACATATATTCACATCTCACATTTCTTACGGGGTCAGACTCCTTTCGATGTGTTTCTTCATTTTAATTCCTGCTCAGTACACAGCACCTGACAGTAAGAAACCACGACCGAGTGTGCGGTGTGGTTCTGCCACCCGTTCAGTTCTCTGTCTCAGTGCCTTCACTTGGGAAGTGAGCATAATGTCAGCACATACAAGTCACAGTATTCTTTAAAACTAAGTAACTTCGTATCCCTGTAGAAAGTGCTCCGTACAGTACCGGGCACAGAGGAAATGTTGAGCTTTTTTAAACATCAGCCTTCATACTGTATGACCGCATTATGTGATCAGGGTGATTTCCTCATCTGAGAAGATTCATATGTATTTAATTACTCCATCATACTTTCTGAATTTCAAATTGAGTCATTCTAACAAAAATATACTTGTGGAAATAACAATTTTAAAATCATGTATCCTAGAAAAATCGGGGACATAGGTCTTTTTAGGGCTTCTTGTTGCTTAAAGCGTTGGGAGAAAATAGCTAATGTTAGTTATAAGAATATGTGGGATTGATTTTCAGATTTTTAAAGTCATTTCTCTTAGCAGAACTTTCTTTTCTATACCAAGTACCACATTGGAGATACTTGTCTTATTTTATCATAAACGGTGATAGGACCATCTGAAGTATTTAAGATGTTTGGCTGTTTTTATATGAATCTTTACCTTTTGTTCTTGAGGTTTTAAGAATTCAAAATTATATAACCACTTTCTAATATTTGGCATTTTTTGACATAGTAAGTGAATTAACGACTGCAATTCCACAATCCACGTTATAGTCATAATTCTAATAATGTTTACTGACAGAGGCATCTTTTAACTGTTTGCTCCCTGGGAATTAGAATTGTACACTTGAGCATAGAAATGATATTTAACAGTGTAATTTAAAATGTCCCAATGTGACTGAAAATGTTTTGAGTCAAAATTAATGAATATGATGAAACCAGATATTTCAGGCTAGAATCTGCGATCTAGGTCATTAATTTGGTTTTCGTTTTTCCTTTTAGTAGCAGACGAACTGCCTTTTTTGTAAGTCACCTATGACTTGGACCCACACCACCCTGTACTCTAGCTGTATTCTGGAATAAGTGTCCAAATGTATCTGGATGATCACTTTTAAGACTGATGAGTCATCTAAATACTCATTTTTCTAAAAATCTTCTGAAGGCCTAAGGAACTATTTTGTGTTCATATTGTATCACGTTCAAAGCCAGTCTTCAGGTGACTCTTCTCAGCAGTTGATGGAGAACAGGCGATGCCCTTCATCTCTGATCAGGCATCTGCATTGTTGTTGGCACTCGCTTGCCTGAGTTTGACATGTTATAGGTTCTGGTATGCTGGGGCAATCGTGAAAATATCAAAGGCCCTGAGACCAGAGCAGAATATGTAAGGAAGTAGGAATTGGCCTTGGCTGGTGTGGCTCAGTGGATTGAGCGTCGGCCTACAAAACAAAGAGTCACTGGTTCAATTCCCAGTCAGGGCACATGCCTGGGTTGCAGGCCAGGTCCCCAGTAGGGGACACATGAGAGGCAACCACACACTGATGTTTCTCTCCCTCTTCTTTCTCCCTCCCTTCCCCTCTCTCTAAAAATAAATAAATCTTTTAAAATAAGAAGTAGGAATTGGACTGGTTGATAGTTTAAATCCATATTTTAGGACATTTTTAGCATACACTTTTAGTTAGTAAAAATTATAAAGTACCTAAAAAGTTAACTATGATAAATTATATACCAACTTAATACATTCATTTAATATATTAAGTATTATATATAATTAACAGATATTAAGCAAAAATTTTTGATTATATGCATTTCTTTATTTTTTTTTTAAGATTTTATTTATTTATTTATCTTTAGAGAGGAAGGGAAGGAGAGAAAGAGAGAAATATCAATGTATGGTTGCCTCTCGTGAGTCCCCTGCTGGGAACTGGCCTGCAACCCAGGCACATGCCCTGACTAGGAATCGAACCGCAATCGTGTGGTTCTCAGGCCTGCGCTCAATCCACTGAGCTACACCAGCCAGGGCTGGATTATATGCATTTCAAATGTTATATTTAAAAACTATATAGTTTTAACTTTCAGTGAATGAAATATTTTCTACGCAAATATGGTGAATTTCTTATGAAAATACTGACAAAGCTCATGGAATCTTTTCAAATAATACCCTTTATAGGAGACTTTCATGATATGAATCTTTAAAGTAGTATTAACTAAATCAGGATGGGGACATTTTTTCCCCATAAAAAAAAGTGCATACCAACTAACAGTACTGTAGATAAATCATACACAAGATGGTCTCATTTCATTTCCCTTTTACTAATTCAGAATTTCTGAAACTTCAGGCACTGTGCTCTTTGTTAAGTTGTCTGATAAAAAGAATTTCAGTTCTGGAGTCTTCCCGCCACAGAAGTAAGCCAAAAATGCTAAGTCACCAGCAAGCCTCAAGAAAGAGGAATCCCTTCACCACACCCTGCCTGTGCGCCACGCCTCGTTTGTGTGTGATGGAGGGCTGTTCGCATTATCTAAGTTCCTTACACATTTGTGGGTATAAACATGTTAGTTTAAAGATGTAGACCTCAGCAGTCTGAAGAATACATTTCCTTAGAAAATGTCTACAAATCAAACTTCTTTTCTAAACAGATAGATGTTTCTGCATAGTTTACAACCTTTGTATTTAAACGAAAGTGCAGGTTTACCCAGTAATAACTTTGGAAGGGTCAGCCGTAGTATTCGAGTGCTGTTGGAGCTGAAATCTTGACTTTGTCTTTCACTGGGGTTTCCTCTGACGTCCAGGATGTAACCGGATGTGGCTGCTTCTGCTTGCAGTGGCCTGCCCAGTGACCCCCAGTGCACTCCAGCCCTTTGAGTTTCTGTTTATTTTCAGTTTTACTGTTTTGTATTTCACTTACTTTGTCTAGAAAATAAATGTTTAAAATTAGGAATATTTTAAGAGGCTGGGATAACTGAAGCATGAATCAGTTGCACGGGGTAGGTGTTTGTTTTTTGGTTTTTGTCCATTTGATCTCCAAAGCAGTCATCTGCCTTATTGAGATTTTCACTAACCCCAGGCCCCTCTCACCTCTGGTTCTGGGAACAGATTGGGCTTTAACGATAGGTGTCATATTTTCACACATCGTTCAGTGTTAGCGTTATGGTCACTGAACTTCTGATTCTTACTGTTTGGTCCCTTTTATGCAAAACTAGAAACGTGACTTTCTGCTCCCTCAGAACATGGGCCACTCTAATTGTGCTCTTACTACTTGTGGATTTAATATGCGTTTTTAATGCTGTATCTCGGTTCTTTTCAGGTACATGAAAGTGTCAAATTTACTGCCCAGGAGCTTTATGATTGTGTTTCCCAGACTGAGTATCGGTAAGTCTTATCTGTGCACAGATAAGCCGTTGACTAAGCTTCTGCTGGTGGTGAAGGGTTTTTTAATGTCTTCACTACACTATGATTTTTTACCTTTATTAGTAGGAAATATTTCATGTTTCCTGCATACAAAAGGGCCATGTGTGTGTATGTTTGTGTAGCAGGTACAAGGTTTAAAGTGGTCCTCAAGATTTTTGGCCTCAAGACTCCTTTCTATTCTAAAAAGTTATTGAAGACTCCCAGAGAGCTTTTGTTTACATGGGTCATATCTATCAATATTTACTGTATTAGAAATTAAAGTTGATAACCTTAAAATGTTTATTTGAAAGTACATGTTAAGCAACATAGAATTATGAAGAGAACTTTTCCCAAACGAAAAACATTACTGACAAGAGGAGCACTGTTTGTAGGTCTCTTAGTGTCTGGCTTAGTAGGCGCAAGCTGGGTTCTCACGGCTGCTGCATTTACTCTGTTTCCATAACTGCACCACGCGTCCCTGGAAACTGCCGAGCACCATTGCAAGAGTGAGTGCACCGTTGCCAAAGGCAGACCCTGTGTCAGTCTTGTTAAGAAAATAGCTTTGACGTCTTTGACCTCACAGACCCTTTGAAAGAGGCTTACCTTCCTCGGACCGTGTTTTGAAGAACAGCTGGTGTACAGAACACTCATATGCCTCCCTTTCAGTTGACAGAAGAGATCTTCACCCATTTCTATCTGTGTTCTCTCTTCCATCCTCTCTAGTGGTTTTGTGTTTATAATTCTCAACCTTATCTTTATGGTTTTGTTGCAATTATTATTAAAAATATGTGGATTAATTTCATCTGTTTTTTAACTTAGTGGAATCACACTGTTTATATTCTTTAAACAAATCATTTGGTTCATCGCATTCATATGTAACAAAACAGTAGTATATATCTGGTTTTTGTACGCAGAGAGAGGGTATAGGCCCAACCCTGGGCCCAGACGAATTCCTGAGGAGCACAAAGCCCATCGAACCAGCCGGTTCCGTGTCACCTCCAGTCTCACACCCTCTGCCCTCCACCCCACGCTCCCCTGTAAGTCAGCAGTGAGATTCACCTTGTGGGGCCCTGGAGCAGGGGGTGGTTCACAGTCCTGTCACCACATGACATGTGTGTTCCTGTTGTCACCCCTGCACTGTTCACAGCCATGCAGTGACGATCACAGGGCTCACGAGAACAAATGGGCTGGGGCATGTCACTCCGAAACCTCATCAGGAGTGCATTAAAAGATCAAAATGACATCACAGATTTACACATGTTCAATAGTTAGGACATACATAAATGCTATAATAAAATTGGCGCCTGAAAAAGAGCTGAGATTGCTTGTGGACTTGGTCGTTGGAAGAGCTGCAGCTGGTCGGTTCGTGTGGTGTGCTGGGGGGAGGGTCATCTGAAATTGGACGTGACGTTGCAGCACCAGATGTGAGTGGATGTGGCCCGTGACACAGGAAGCTGGGAGAACTGTGCGTTTCTGAGGTGTGCGCATGTGTGTTGTGTGTGTTCCTAAGCAGCTTGGCTCGGCTGAGTACAGTCTTCTCTGTTCACCTAGCATCTCTCACTGCTGAAATTACATGTGAAAAAATGTGAAACTTGTGTTATGTGCTCAAATTGTTCTTTATTGTATCAGTGGGGTTGGAATAAATCTGTGTGTTTGGAACAAGCACTGTAGCAGAACTGTTTTTTCACTACTAGGCAATATGCCACTATGTCACTAAATCACTGTTTCTTTGCTGTTGATAATGTGCATATGTACCTTTGTGACTACGAAATTCTGTGTGCAGGCTCAGGGACAGAGTTAGCGATCAAAGTGCTTCTGTTAAAACTCTCACTTGATGAATTTATTTGATGGTCAAGACACTAGGATTGAGAATCACACACAAATGTTACTAAGCAGTATAGCTATGAAAGTGCACCCATTAGAATCGAATAAATTTTCCAAGAAAACCTGAAGCCAGGGCATGCGTGATATTGTTCCTGGTGGTGAGAATGATTGTTTACTGTAATCTGCAGACTATCAGTTAACCAGCTATACTCTTATAGATCTTCACAGTTTATACTTGAAGGTTGTGTACCTGAGATTTGTGTAAAAAGTACAGTGTCTCAAGGGTGGAAAGCCCACTGCAGACAACCTGGAGGGCCCGAGCCCCTTGCAGGATGGTTCAGATGTCTAAGATTATTTCAAGTTCACCTTACTGTTGGAATAATTGGGAGGGTTTTTTGGAGGGGGTGGGGTGGGTGGTGGAGAGGGGATAGGGGTCAAAGTTGATTTTCAAAGTTGAAGCAGTTGTACTTTTTCTTCTCTCCTTTGTTTTCTTCCCACCTATAGTCTCAGGGGTTTGAACTTTGGTATTAACAAGCTCACTCTTATACCCAGAAGGGTGATTTTGAAATCAAATATATAATATCTTGAATGAGTTGAAAAATGGCAATTGCTGTTCAGCAGGCTTTTGATTCATAGCTTTTAGATTTGTTATCCCGCTGTTCGTTTTAGCATCGTTTGCCCTGTTCAGTGAACGGTGTCTCCTGTGCCAGCCTCCCGCATCGTGCCCAGCTCGCAGTTTCCACATCAGCTGCCAGAAGAGACCTTCTTTTGGTGTCAGTGGTTCACGTTAGTCGCAGGGTTAAACGCAGTGCATAGAGGGTGTTAACGTTCTCCTGTGGTCTCAAGGTGCAAACAGGAGTGGTTTAACTTGCACACGGCTGGCCGTGTTTGGGAATGTTAAGAAAAGCAATTACTTAAAGTGTCTGGATTTCCTGTTTCTTGTTTTTTGTTACACAGTGTTAGTTGTGAGGAAGGACACAGTTCATGTGCCCGACACTGTATTTATTGCGGTAGGGATGTAATTAAGTAGCTGAAGAACATAAAACTACTTTATAGGTTCTGATAAAGCAGGAAATGAAGGTCTCACATTGAAAGTGGCTTTGATCAAAAGTTGAATTCCATGGCACTGGGGAACCCTGGTCTTCACATTATAAACCGGGTAATGTTCTACCTTCCAGTTTGTAGACTCTCTGACGTGGTGTTTTCTCTTGCTGCTGGGGTCTGTCTGCATTATGCGCCCTGAGCAGAGGAAGGGTTGGCTCAGAAAACCCAGGTGGTAAATTGTCAGATAGATACCAGACACACATATCTTGTGATATCTTTTATGTGTATGAGAAGTAAGCTAGAAGTGTTTAACTTACTTTGCCCTGTAAGTTCTTGACAGAGTGTTCTGGCATTGTTTGCGAGTGGAGTCCCTGAGGTCATTTCTTCTACATGAAATGCAAACTAGTTGTAACATCAGCCTCATAAAGTACCTGGCATATCCAGCTAATATACTGCCTAAGAAGGCATGTGTATCAGAAGCTTTCCTTCCCTGTGGCAGGTGCTCTCAGGAGTGAGTGCTTTCTGACCCTTGGAACCAGCTCCCTGGTAATGGCTTTGAGGTTGCCTTTGAGCTGTGGTTCCTGGACCCCAGGGTCAACGTCACCTGGGAACTTGGAAGAAATGCAAACCCTAGGGCTCTGCCCCAGACCTCCTGAATCAGCAAGTTTGGGGGTGGAGCCCAGCAATGTTTTCCAGTGCTCCCAGGCCACGCTGAAATTTGAGAACCCCTGTGTCCAAGAAGCCTCGGCAGAAAAAAAGCCTTAGAGAAGAATCTGGGACTCAGATTTAGACCTTTGGTGTTTCTGCTTTAAGTGGAATAGAATTACATTATTTTTGTCTCTAGATGCAATAGTATGTTGCAGTAAATTCGACTTCATTATTTGTGATAGAAGATTATACAAAATAAAAGTATGTACTTTTGTTTACTGAGGTACAATTTCCATAGCAAAATTAACAACTTTAAACTGTACAATTCAATGGGACCGGGCGCATCCACTGTGTTGTGCCACGTGTGTCCAACTTTGGGCGTCTCTGGGCCACACTGGAAGAAGAGTTGTCTTGGGCCACACACTAACTGAACAACCACTAATGAAAACCGACGAGCAAAGAAAAAGGTCCATGCATAGTTTATGATTTTGTGTTGGGCTGCGTTCATAGGCATCCTGGGCTGCGTGCGGCCCACAGGCTGGACACCCCTTGCTCTCACTCCAGGACACTTCCGTCACCTGCCCTGGTAGGAATGCCCTTGCCCATGAAGCAGTGGTTCTCTGTTCTCCCCTCCTGGCCCAGACCCTGGCAACCACTAACCTGGCCTTCTGTCTCCGTGGATTTACTCATTTTGGGTTTTTCTTGTAAGTTGCATCATACAACACAGGACCTTTTGTTCGTACAACACAGGCTTTGTTCACTTAGCATGATGTTTTTGAGGTTCATCTCACTTTTACATAAATCAGCTGTTCATTCCTTTGTAGGGCTAAAGAGTGTTCCATGGCATGTATCAGTATGTATCACATTTTGTTCCTCCATCTGCTGTTGGACACTCTGTTTCCCGTTTGGGGCTAGTGTTGGTGGACACGTATTGGAATTCCTTCCTTCTTTACAATTGGTGGGGGGTGTGTGTCCCAAGAGTGGAATTCCTGGGTCAGATGGTAGTTCTGTGCTTGTCTTTGGGGAACTGTTTTCCACAGCTGCTGCACTATTTTACCTTCCCACCAGCGAGATGCAAGCGTTCTAATTTGACCACATCCTCAGCGACATTTATTTTCCATTTTCTGATTATAGCTATGCTGAGTGTGAAGTTTTACCTCACTGTGATTTTGATTTGTATTTTCCTAATTACAAATGACGCTGAGAACATCTTTTCACGTGCTTGCTGGCCATTGTTAGTTGGGTTGTTTTCTTTCTGTTGTCAAGTTGTAAAGAATTCTCGATGAGGAATCCGGCTCCAGACCGGAATCCTGTGTGGTCTTGCAGACCTGACCATTGGCAGTTACGTGGCTTTACCTGGCAGCCTCCGTCGGGGAGCGCTCCCTTCCCAACACCAGACGCGGTGCGCAGCCCACGGGCTGTGGCCTTGGCAGGGTTAGGGGCGGGGTGCCGGCTGGGCAGCCACGCCCACACCTCTACCTGCCGTGCTGAATGAGGGGCTCCATTGGGAGGCCTCCTTTGGGGGCGTGGCTGAAGCGCCTCTGCAGAGACCTTTCTGGAGGCCTAGCCTGAAGTGTTTTTCTCCCCCTGAATTTCATTCCTTAAGTTGCCTTTTCACTTTCTTGATAGTATGCTTTGATGTACAAAGATTTTAGTGATTTTTTGAGAAAGAGATTTCTGTTTAATCATATTTTATGTATGCTTTATCCCAAAATTAACATTGCCAGATTAGAAACCAGACAAAATATCAGACACAAGGAGAATTCTGGAACTAAACCCTGCAGTCGTTCAATGTCAATCTGAGCAGGTGGTTGGGGCGGAGCACCAGGGAGGTGGAGGGGAAGCAAACTGCGGACTGAGTTGTATCAAAAGCGCCACTGCACCAGGACCGAGTTGTATCAAAAGCGCTGCTGGATTATTTGCATATCTGCTTTAAAACATGGATTTTTTATACTGTCCCAAAGGGACAAAACAGAATTTTTGCTGGATAAACTATACTAGTTCTTGCATTTTTACCTAAATTTTTTTTATTTTTCAGTTACAGTTGAAAAGTCTGCAATTTTGGTAACATCCAATTTGTGCAGTTTTTTCTTGTCGCTTGGGCTTTTGGTGTCATATCTAAGAATCCATTCCTGAAGCTGAGGTCATGGATATTTACCCCAAATGTTTTTCTAAGAGTTTTATAGTTTTAGCTCTAACAGGTCATTGATTCATTTTAATTTTTGTGTATGGTGTGGGTCGAATTTCATTCATTCGCTTGTGGATGTCGAGTTGCCTCAGCACCATTTGTTGAAGGAGCCACTCTTGACACACTTGTCTAAAGTCAGTCGACTGTGTGTGAGGTTTTATTTCTGGACTTTCAGTTCAGTTCCACTGGTCTGTGCATCTGTCTTTATGCCAGGACCACTCTGCTTTGGTTGAGTTATTTAGGGTAAGTTTTCAAAGCTGGGAAGTGTGAGTCCTCTCACATTATTTCTTTTTCAACATTTGGCTTTTTGGGTTTTTTTTTTTTTAATTCTATGTAAATTTTAGTATCAGCCTTTCCATTCCTGCAAAAAAGACTCTCGGAGTTTTGACAGCGATTGCGTTAAGTATGTGTTTTGCCCCAGGGTCTGTCACCAGTGCAGTAAGTTTTCCAGTGTGGGAACATGGCACGCCCCTAATTGAAGGTTTGGATTTCTTTTGGCGACAGACTGAAGTTTTTAGTGTACAGGTCTGTGCCTCTTCGCTTAAATTTATTCCTCAGTAGTTTGATCTTTTTCATGTTATTGGAAATGGTATGTTTCCTGCCATTACTTTTCAAATCGTGAATTGCTAGTGTATAGAAACACAGCTAATTTTTTGTGTTGAGCTTTTATTTTGCAGTGTTGCAGAAATGGTTTATTAGCTCTGAACAGTTATTTTGCGGATTCTTTGGGATTTACAATTTCACTTCCTTGTTTACAATCTGTATGCCTATTATTTTTGTGGGGGGGGGTTAATTCTGCCAATAGAACTTCCAATACTATGTTGAGTAGAGACATTAAACACGGGCATCCTTGTCTGGTTCCTGATTTTAGGGGGAAAGCTTTCAGTCTTTCAGCATTGAATATGATGATAGCTATTACATCCTGTTTTTACATTAGGATTACATTGCATTAAACTTTCCTTTCATTTGATGATTTGAGGTACACATTTCAAATGTATGCCAAAGTGCAGAGTTGTAAAACCAGTGCCCATTTTAGACTTTCCTCGTATCTAGACAGAACTTCGGAAAAATTGCGTCAGAAATGGGAATTAGGTCACTTAAATTCACCATCACCATTCAGTTTGGACAAAATTAGTCATGGAAATTAATCAAATGATGGAGATTTTGCGGGGCGGGGTTCATTGATTTAAATTTTTTTCCCCTTATTTTTGACCTGTTCACCATCTGGTCAGGCCGGGTCAATGCCCCTATGAGGACGACGGGAGAAATGGGCAGCGCCCACACGAGACACAGCACATCACAGAACTGGAGCCACCTCCAGTCTTGGGTTGGAGGTGGCTCCACAAAGGGTTTGTAGTTGGGATTGTGTAGTTTGGAAAAAATTAATAGGATCACTATAAAAGAAAATATTTGTTCTGTTGGAGGAAAAGGGGATAATGACTTTGTTTTGTTTTAAGATTCAGGTCAGATCACTGGGATTTTTAGGCTCAACATAAAGAAGGAACTTTTGAGCAATTAAGAGACATCAAAACATGTAATAGGCTGCCTCTCATAGCCATACATGGTGAGATGACTCACTCTGAATGGCAAGCAAAGGTGCTTAGGTGACCTCACGTTTACTGTTCTTTGTACACATAAGCCACAGGCAAAAGGAACTCAAGAATTCCTGTCACTGTAATCCAGGAGAGACCAGATATACAAGGTGAGAAACACCTGATGCTTTCCTCGGTCATGACACCTTGCTGCAGGAAACAGAATCTATAGGCGACTTACAAATAGAGACCAGATGCCACTGGGATGGGAAGAGGAGAGGAACTCACCTTGTAACTGTGAGGAGAAAGCAGGAAGAAAAAGCAAAGACACAAATCGGTTCAAAGTCTACTGTCCAATGGAGTAGTTTTCATATATGGAATAGCCAAGAACAGCAACAGGGATGTGTTGCATTTTAAGTTTGAAGAAAACCTCTCTCATTTTGGATCTCAGGGGGTCCTCCGGAAATCATTTTCTGAGTAGTTGTGAAGAACTGGCAGCAGCGTAACACTAAATTTTAAGCAATCCAAGTATAGAAAGTAGGACTAGAGTAACACAAGGCCAAAAGTCAGGTTTTAATTAGCTTCAGACACCACATATCGCCAGGACTCGAGGCCACTCAAGATGGGGTGTATTTACTTCTGCTGCCACCACTGTCTCCCAGCCTGTTCATTCCCTGAGTACTGATTGCCTTTGTTTTCCTTCCTACCCCACGTGGAGGCATCCGTGGGGGCAGCAGGGAGACGTAGCCAGTGATCTTCTCCAACACCATGGAGATGGCTTGGAGTGACCTTAGAAGCCAAGGGAGTAATAAGTCATTTACGTAATAAAAGTAACTGTCATGTCGTGAACACCTAATGTGTAATGTGCCAGGCGCTGTACTAGTTGCTGGGTATTCTTCATAAACTTATATAGCGGACTTCCTAGTACGTATAAATAGGTTCCAGTGGGATCTGGACTCTGTAGACACCTGAGAGCCCAGGTAGGCTTCATTTCAGGTAAAATTATGCATAGGCATGGCATACGTTGGCCATAACTCTCTGCTTCCGCCTCTGGTTAGAGTAACTAATACTCATTTGTTAACTGTTAGAGAATGTATTTCAGCAATCATGTTAATAGCTCTGTCAATGTCCTGTCCCCTCTCTAGTGTCTGCTGTTGGCAGGGGGCGCACTTTTATAGCCTCCAGTCTACCTGTTCTTTAACTCCCAAGCTAAATAAGACAAAAAAATATGGTTTACACCCCCTCTCCGGGCCTTGCTTACCCCTCGGATCAAAACTTGTTCACACCAGCCCACCTCCTGGAGGAGGTCCTTCGGAGGAGAGGCCACACAGAGGTCTGTTTTTAAGCCTCCAGCTTTGCTTGTTGGCAGCAGGTCTTCCATGAGAACAGGTATTCCTGAATTCAAGGAACTGCATCAAGATCTTCATGTTGACTGAGAACTAGTCTAAGCGCCTATTATATCCTCCTGTGCTTTGTCTGTGCTGAGAAACCGTAACACTTAGTATCTTTCTCTAATATCAAAGAATGTGTTTCAAACCCCAGCGCCATCCTGTGGGGTTAAATGCTTTCACTCACCTGGCCAGCACTGGCAGTGACGCACGTTTCTTCCCTAGGGAAAGGTTAACCATCGGGTGCCGCCAGCTGGAGGAGATGGAGCGCGCCATGCAGCAGTGCCACGCCTCTGTGTACCCCGAGGCCAGAAACCGGGGCTGGTGTGAAGACTTGCTCAGCGACAGGACCACAGTCTGACTGCCTCAAGAACAATAGAGTAGCTTTCGACCTTTGAAGCCAAACCCAAGGGACTTGTAAGAAATGTCTCATTTGTATAAAAGGGTGATTGCTCATTACTGAGTCTCACTGAGGTTCTCTGAAAGCCTAACGCGTCCATTGCGGGATAAACCGTAGTCAGCTCCTCTGAAGCTGACAGTACCTCCCTACCTCCCTGATGCTGAGCCGGTGTGTTTAAGGAGAGGAGAGGCGCCTTGTTAGTCGTCTGGGGGCAGGAGCCCCTGTGGCATCTGAGGAAGGCACAGTGGCAGCATCTTTCAACCCTGCATATGCCTGTGTGACCAGCAGCACTTCCAAACTCCAAGGAACAATTAGGACATGACCATTCCAGTCTTACCCAGGGCTCTTGTATGATCCAAGTGTCATCCATGTAGACCTGGTGAATATAGTACACATCCCTTACACTTCCCCAAGGTACTGGAAATTGAAGTTTTACTTCAGTTCCAACTTGCAGTAAGTCTTTCTTCTTCCCTGAGGTTCGCACTTTTCTGTGCGTGTCTCAGGGAGGGACCCCTGTGCTGAGTTTCCCCTTACGTAGCAAACAGCGAAATTTATGGGAGTAGGTGGCCCTGACCTATGTTTGCTCCTAACTAAACCAAGTGTCTGACTGACTTCTTATGTAGGTACAGAGCACGTTGGAAGTCCTTGTTTAATAGAGTATATTATGTAATACATTAGGCTAAATCTAATTTGGTGTTCTATTATAAATGTTAATTTATTTTTTTAAAAAGCAGTACATTATGTTTAGTGAGATTTTTACTTTTAATTTTACCTCCAAATTGTATTTGAGCTGCGTACAAGGCACTATAAGAGTGAGCCCCGCCAACGACAGCACCTACTCAGGATGCTCACGAGCAGCCCACAGGGCCCGCTGGGCTGTGCGGGCCAGAGCCACGCCTCCCCCCGGGCTCAGTGCTGCTCTGGGAAACGGGAAGAAGCCTCTCTGCCCTCTGCCTCTTTTCCTTTTCTTCTCTGAGGAGCCAAAACATCCCTTTTTGACCAAAAGAACTTCTACTCAGGTCTTTATCCCCGAACTGCTTCTGGTTACTACTGTTGAGTTTTGGCTCTGCTTGTCCTATCTTTTTAATATGTGTTATGCATTCAGAACATTTCTTTTCACTAATTAGCTGCTTAGTTCTTTATATTCCACCGATATTTATGTGGATTTTAATATTGTGTTGTGCATTAATTTGTCAATTATGTCAACATTTCTGAAATTTTATTGATATGTGAAGGTGTTTTCTAACTTGAGTCTTTATACTGTTGTCTTGTCTAATCTTAAAGTTTAATTTTTATCACACTAAGTCTAGTAATCATCTGTCACCATGCACACTTATGACAATGACTGTATTCCTTCACCTTTTTCCAGGCACCCCCTCCATCCTCCCCCCAGCAACCATCAGTATGATGTTTCTGTGAGTCTGTTTTTTGTTTTAGGTTCCACATACAAGTGAAATCATACAGTATTTTTCTCTTATTTTACTTGGCAATACCCTGTAGGTCCATCCGTGTCGTTGCAAATGACAAGATTTCATTCTTTTTTATTTCTGAGTAATATTCCATTTGCTTGTTTTTGTTTCCCTGGCTTGAGGGAACCTCTCCGTAACGGTCTTACTGAAGCTGATGTCAGCGTGCTACCTGTGTTTTCTAGGAGCCTTATGGTTTCAGGTCCCACTTTGTTTTTAATTCATTTTTGTATATGGTGTAAAAAGCGGCCCGGTTTCTTTTTCTGTTTCTTTTTTTGCACGTTGTTTTCCCCAGCAACACCTTTTGAAGAGGTTGTCATTTCCTCACTGTATCTCCTGCTTCCTTTGTCATAGATTGGCCATGTAAGTAAGGCTTTGTTTCCGGGATCTCTGTTCTGTCCTAGTACCATACTGCTTTGATTACTGTGGCTGTGCAGAATAGCCTAAAATCAGGGAGTATGGTACATCCAGCTTTGTTCTTTCTCAGGATTGTTTTTTGGCTATTCTTGGTCTTTTGAGGTTCCATAGAAATTTCAGGATTGTTTATTCTAGTACTGATACGAATGCCACTAAGTATTTTGATTAGGTATTGCACTGAATGATTACTTTCATACATTTGTTTTGATGCAAGAATTATCAGATTCTTAACAGCAGCTTCAGATTTTAAAATCTCCATTCTTCAATATGTATGGCTATTATATTTTGAATAGAAGCCATCATAAGCACGTCATGAGCCACCAGAATGAACTGATGGGGAGTCACCTGGGGAAGGACTGTCTCTCTACATGATGTCCTTGCCTTTGCCTCAGTGAGGAGCTGGTGATTTCATAAGAGGTAGCCATGAGGATTAGCCCATCGAAGTTCCTAGCATCATTTTACACTAGCCTTTCCCAATGTTCTGTAATGCTATATAAATGGAGCCTTTTGAGGCTGTCTTTTCATTTAGCATGCTTCTGAGATCCATCCATGATGTTATCAGTACTTCAGTTCTTTTTATTCTTGAGTATCCTACCTATTATATGGATGGAATTTATTCATTCACTAGTTGAAAGGCTGTTTGCTTTAGGCAATTATGAATAAAGCTGGTACATTCACATACAGGTTTCTGCATGAGCATGTTTTTGTTTTTACTGCACTTTGATAAAACACCTAGGGAATGGGATTGGGTCATAGGGTATTTTTCTAAGAAACGGCCAAACTGTTTTCCAAAGTGACCTTACTGTTTTTTAATTTCCTACAGTTTGAGAGTGCCAGTTACTGTGCACTCTAACCAGAATTTGGTATATTATTCAGATTTAATAGGTATGAATGGCACTGCTTTACATTTTCTTAACAATTTATGAGTAACTGTCTTGGAACCCATTTACCTTCTTTGGTGAAGTGTCAATTCAGATCTTTTGCCCATTTAAAAACTTGATTATTTTATTGAGTTTTGAATTCAAATCCTTTATCAAATGTTTTCTCTCAAGTCTGTACCTTTAAACAGTTTTGGTGTAGGTAACACTAGTTTAATGTGGAAGGCTGGCCTTACCATGACTTTGCAAGTAGCCTTAGTGGACAGCTGGTCCTGTTTCATAGCTGCCTTCCAGTTTTTAATGCAACTCTTCTGAAACTGCTGCAAATTTCACTTCCTCTCCTGTTTCATTCTTTCACTGAAGCTTGGTATGCTGTGTGCTTTTTTCCTGGTCTAAAATTGTATTACTCCCTTTGCACCTATTCAAACCTATAGCCTTTGTAGCTGCTTCTATTTCCATGGGGTATCTTTGGTAACTGAGCTTTTGCTTCTCTTAGTCAACCTCCAATAAGTGACGAAGCTAACAGTGAAGCTTAAATACTTTGCTGGCCAATGTGCTAGTTTGAAGAATCCATGGCATGCACATGAGTTATGCCCTCTATAAATTCTCCTTGTTGCTCAATATGTCATTTTAAGTCTCTTGATAAACTTGTTTTTATTATGAAGGAAATTGGTGCCTCATGGTAATCTTTTAACCTACAGATGATTCAATTTTTTCCCCCTTGATTTTTAAAAACCGAGTAAATTTGACATGAAACTTTAAGTTTAAGGTACAGCATGTTACTTTGATACATTTATATGTTGTAATGACTGCTGTATGGTGATGTTTATCGTATTACATGATTACAATACAATATTGTCTGCATTCATTTTGCTGTGCGTTAGATCTTTATGGCTTATTTACTACTTGCTAAGTTTGTATGCTTACACACCACTCTCACCCCGCCCCTCCCCAACCCCCTAACTACCACCATTTTACTTGTTTTTACAGGTTTAACTTTAGATTTCACATGTAAATGCTGTTACACAATGTTTGTCTTTCTCTGACTTATCTTGCTTAACAGTATGCTCAAGGCCCACCCGTGTTGTGACAAATGGAAGGTTATCCTTCCTCTTAGATGATTTAACTTACTTTCCAGAACAAAATTTGTGGTTTGGCTTTATCATTTAAGAGTCATCTATATTGGCATTTCCTTGCTTTTCTTTGTCTTTTACACCCTGTTAATTTAGTTTGTCTCAGGTAATTTACATTGTCTTAGTCAGTGAAAGACTTCAAATCTTTTTTTTTTTGGAACCAATTAGAATACAAATAAATGCCTAATACTATAGAGACTGAATTTTCTGTGACTTCCCTAAAGGCAACTCTGGAGTTGCAAAAAATATTATAATAATACAACTCTTTCTCCTTTTCCTACTTGAATTTTAAGTTAAGAATCCTGCGGTCCAGAGAGATTACAAGTATTAAGCAAGGTTGCTAGCCCTACATCACATTCCTAAATCCAGGAGGTTCACTGCCAAAATATGAGTACATAAGAAAAGCTAAACGCTGAGTAACAGTTAAGGGTGCCTGACCTACTACTACAAGTCAAAAATCAAAGCCCTGTCTTGAAAGTAAAAAAATAAAAATAAAGTCATGCCTGAGGCATAATCAATTGTTTTGTTAATTCTACCAGGTATTTTATAGCTTTGCTACTGTTTTAGGGATCTATATGTTTTATGCATTATGACAACTAACCTCAAGTGTGGTTATTATTGATATTATTTCTAAATTACTCCAAAACCCATAATGGTAAAACAAATTTATGCTGAGGCTATGCCACATTGTTTCCTTACCTCAAAAAAAATGTACCTTTTATATGTGGATTGAGGACTGTCATGTGTCCCCCGCCCCCCCACAATATGGAAGCTGCTTATATTCAAAACATGCTTTAAAAATATATTTTGGCCACCAAAATACCCATTTGGCATCAGTGGTAATACAGGAAAACTCTGAGCCAAAGTAATTGTATTTGCATTTAAGTGTTACTTAGGAACTAAGAAGTAATTTCAAGTATTTTACTGCTGAATTCCCAAATAAAAGTTAATTTCCTGTGCCAAATAGAAAATAAACAGAGCCATTAAAAAAAAGTGATCATGTTAGGCTCAAATCTACCAACCTAGTTTTAGGCCAGAACCACCACAATAGACATAATCAGGAACGAGCCACTAACTAGGTGAACGGATTTCCTTTTCTGGTGGTGTTTGTGGAGTGGATGATACCAATAAGGTGTGAAAGTACCAGAGAAACATTTGGAGAAGGTACCTCATTTTCTTCTTAACCAGGTTAGTTAGCCACCAACTAGTCGTCTCGTCTCAGCTAGTTCAACAGATTCTTGCGTGCACTTTGTCTTCTCTGAGGGAAGAAACTGTTAACCTTGTATCAGCCTTTCTTTCCAATGTAAGATGCCGGGTGAGTATTTTTTCCCCACTCATCGATACTGGAAAAAATGTTTCCCCAAAACATTCAGCAATGAATGGGCACACAAAACTCAGGGATATTAAGCCCATGGTGCCAAGATTTCCTGCATAGTACCTTGAACACGTTTGCATCGGCAGCAGGCATTAGGATGTGCTGATTTTGGCCCCGCAAGTTTTCTTTACGGCACTACACATTTGATACCAAGTCACCCTGAGTAATGTTTATCCGTATGAATAGAAACTCTGAACAGAAACATAGTCTGGTAATGGCTGCACTCATAAATCCAATACAGTTCAACTGTCTTCGCAATTGACAGCTGCCATTTGGGATTGTTCTGTTAATGATTAAAAACAGGAATTGTTTAGGAGAAAATACTTCACTGTTCTTTACTGTTGAATATTAAGTATCTTCTATACCCTCAAAACATCGTTATTTCAAATAAAAATTGAAGCTATATTACTGTTCAGCAGTTCCATTCAAATAAACATTGGTACTTCATTCTCAAAAAAATAACGCAGCTGAGGCAAATGCCCAGACATTGTTGTTTTAGGTGTGTAAAAGAAACGCTTCCCTCTGCTTCCACAGAGTGACTCCACCACATCTTCAACAGGTCAAACACTCTGCTAAGGATACAGTT